GATACAGCGTCTAAAAAGTTATCAAGATACAGATACATTTACAGATACATTTTTTATTATGCTTTTATAGGTTTGCATAAACCTAAATTAATATTATATTGTGAAAATTCATGAAATGAGCTAAAAGATTTATTGACGCGATATAACATTTATCAGAATATAACTAAAACAATGATTTTAATATAATATATGAAAATATATGATTAAATAATTATTAGATTTCAGTAATAAAATATTTTCAAAATTTTGATCATTTGGGCATCCTCGTTTATCTGTAAAGACATTTTTAGCAACACTAAATAGTATTTCCTCAGGGGCGCTTGAAGGAATTGTAGTGTTATATTTAATAAATAACAATTTTATATCAGGGTATTCTTTAAAAATGCTAAAATCTCTACATTCATTTTTGAAAAAATTATTTAAAATTTGTTGATTATCAAAATTAAAATCATTATTAGAAATTATATCTGCTGTAGGGTACTGAAAAAAATCTGATAAATTATTTGTTTTTTTTGGCAGGTTATTTGCTTGCAGTCAGTTGATGACTTTGATAATTCACCAGCTAATCTTTGTATCAATTGTTTTCTTTTATTAAGATTTTCTTCCATATGTCCAATCAAGTTTAAAAAAAGGGTGGAGCATGGTTGCTATAATATTATCATCTTCAAATAAGGTCACAATAAACCTAAAATTATTAAATATTTTTAATTTATTATATTAATTTACCTATCCTCAATCCCTTTAAGTAAGGCATCTAAGAGTGGTAAACAGAATCTCAGGTTCATTTCTTTAAAATTCTTTAATTTGATAATAAGATGTGAAATAGTTGCACAGTAATAAGCTGTGTACATATATTTATCTCCCTGCAAAATATCAAGGGAATTAGCTATTGGCATCATTAGCTAATTTAAAATAATGCTATATATAAAAATATTATTTATAACTTACTAAACAATATTCATGAATAAAATCACATTCATTAGGTAAAAACCTAGGTAGTTTTATTCCATCACATATCTTGTCCACTTTGTCAGATTTAGCTTTTATAATTTTTGACATTAATTGTAAAGCATTAAAGACTTATTTTACCTATTCCATATATTTTGGCATTTATGTAGTAGTGTGCTATATATCTAATGAAGAAAATATTACTCATTTAAATTAGTTTTACCCTCTGATATTGTTTACACTGCATGGCTCTATTGGCATCCACAGTGGCTATAAGATTCAATGTGTGACTGGCACAACATTGGTGATGGGGTAAACTAAATGATTCTGATAATTCATAATCCTGTGCAGTATTATAAAGATTTGATATAGAAATTGGCACAACTGCTTCATCTTCCAGATCATCAATTGATTCACTTGTATTATTTTCATTGGCTTGAAAACTCTTTAATAAATTAAGTAATCAATCATATATTATGTTTATATTTATTTATAATAAAATAAACCTAAAACATTTTATAAAATTTTTGGCATTATCTGTAATGGTCTTTGAAATTTTATTTTGAATGCAATAATCCTTAGCTATATCTTGTAAATTTTTTGCTATTTTATCATATGTATGACTACCAGTCATTCTTTTACAAGTCAACGCTATATTTTTTCTTTCCAAACTTATTGGATTTATATAGTGAGCGGTTACTCCTATGTATGAACTAAAAATTAAAATTTCTTAAAATTGCTGAAATAATTTATTCTTAATTAATTATTATACAAATTTAAATGTTAGCTATACCGGCGATAGGCACTCCAACAATCTGCTGTTGTGCATATTAATGATGGTTCTATAAGACTTCCAATTATTTCTTTCTTTTCATTTTCCCATCTTTGGGAAATTCTACCAACAACTGTCTGTCGGCAAATTATATTTTTGTGTGGAGTCAAAGTGTTGATCATTTTTTTAAAAGAAGAATTTTCAACAATTGAAAATGGCTGCATGCCATCTATAATAAAAGCAATAATTAAATCATCTAAAGTGCCTTGAGTTAAAGTTAAAGGTCTTTTAGCAAAAATATTATTGGAGGATGAGCCTTGTCCAATATTTTCTTTGGTAGTTTTATTTTCCTTCCCCTTTTTTATTTTTGTTAACAAGGTTGGATGTTTTCTCTTAAAATTTAAATTAGAATTTTAAATATATAATATCTATACCCTTATGTGCTTCACGATATTGCACGTTGAAGTCATACTGACGGATATTTTTGTATTTTTAGGTAGACACTGCAAACATTTTACCATCAGAGAATTGTTTTCTTTGTTTTGAGATATTATTTTAAAATATGCTTTATAAATTGGCCATGGTAAAGTAGAACTTGTTGTTGCTTCCTCTTCTTCATCGATATAGATCTAAATAAATATATAAACTTAAAAATTTAGTTATAAAATAAAATTTACCATTTCCATATTGTAATATTAAAATTTGTATGGTTTATTGATAAACTCGGACATAATATTTAAATTAATGAATATTTATATATATTTTTTATATATAAGTTTTAATATTTTATGTATATATAATTCTTTATTATAATATTAATAAATATTAATATATAATACATATATATATATTTCATAAGCTCATATGAAATAAAATAAATTTTACAGTCAAATATTTTTATTTATAATAAAAAAAGGGGTATATAAAATGTATCTTAAAAAGTATCTAAAAACAGATACAGATACCTCTAAAAAAATATCTAGATACAGATACTACATTTTTATATCTAGATACTTTAACAACTCTGGTGATTACAATTGCTGCAATCGTAGTTGCATCTGTATTATTTCTTATTTTTGGAGAATATTTTTATTTTGCAATGGATGTAGATACAGCAATGATTATAATAATGTGATTGAATAATAATAAATAATTATCATTGATATGAGTACAATATTACCTTATTATATATTTAAACGTGATACGTGATAATTAAGCGCCTATCCCTATAATGTTATACACACACAAGGTAGATTTCCAATTGCGGAAGTTTTGCAGGACATTCGCATAAAATATATTTTTATATTGTAAAATTAAAATCGTTTGTTTTTTTTATAAAATTTTATCTTGTTTACATTCTTTTTTATAAATTAATATATTTTAATAAATCAAGATGTTATTTTATTTTGTACACACACAATGTAGATTTCCAATTGCGGAAGTTTTGCAGGACATTCGCATAAAATATATTTTTATATTGTAAAATTAAAATCGTTTGTTTTTTTTATAAAATTTTATCTTGTTTACATTCTTTTTTATAAATTAATATATTTTAATAAATCAAGATGTTATTTAATTTTGAAAAATTATAAAAAATAATAGGCGGATAATTAAGTCAATTCAAAATCCCGGCCCGGCGGGATCTTGCGGGCCTTGTTTAGTAAATTTTTTATTTCTACCGCAATTTTCATATTTCTCCTGCAAACATTTATATTTCTCCCGCAAAATTCCAAATTTCTTCCGCAATTTGAAAATTTTGATCTGGCAACCCTGGTTGGGAAAAAATTTTAAAAATTACTATGGGTTGGCCAAGCTTGGGAAAATTTTTTTTATAAAATTTTTATAGTTTGGGCTGGGTTTGAAAAATATTTTTATAAATTATATTAGGCTGGGCTTGGGGAAAATTTTTCAAAATATTATGAGCTAGAATGCTTGAGAATTTTGTTATTATTAACTATGAGTCAGACATTGGCTTAAAAAATTTTTTATGAAGCCCTGGGCTCGGCCTGATCAAAAAACCTAGGCCCATGAAAATCTGATTTTGATTGTATTTTTAACATTATCATTATTTAAATATTTTATTTCAGTTCTCAACTACCAAAATTATTATATTCACTGGGCTTGGAAGATTTTCAAAATTATTATGGCTTTGTACTTTGCCTGGGAACTTTTTTAAAATTAAATATTAGGTATAAATGATCAGTAATATTTATCAAATAATGTTGGTATTATCAAGTAAAAGCTTTAAATTTAATTTTACCAAACCATAGTATTTACACTTAGTTTTAATAGATTAAACCTGGCATGAAGGGGGGGGGGAGGATTAAAAGAATAATAATTGGATATTATTTTCAAATATGAGGTAACAACGATCATAAAAGTAAGAAGAAAATTCTCATTCCCCATCATTTTTGACGGGCTATCTTCTAGTAATATAATAAATAGCAAAATAGGAAATTCAAAATAATTATTCAGAGTTAGGAAATTTTTAAAAAGTATAATATGTTAATATAAAACCCAGCCAAAGGCCGAGCAAAAGCGGGCCGAAAGCCAGAAAATGGGAAATAGGGGGGGGGCTTCGCCCCCCATTAAATTTTTAGTTGAGCCCCCTGAGATTGTAAAGGCTAGCGAATTGTCGTTATTATTTAAAAAAATTTAAAATAAATAAATCTTTGGGTGTTTCTTTTTATTTTTATAAAATAAACTTTTAATATACTATAAATTTATTTAAAAAAATAAATAAAATTTAGGGTGTGTTGTGCATTTGCATTGCTTTAAAAAAAACTATTTAGAAAATATTTTAATAATGTAAAATAAATATACATACAAAAGAAAAGTAAAAGGATCGAATCGGGTTTTTACAGGTATCGGCCAGATCCGATATTTTAGAAAAACGCTAAATATCGGTGTCGATCCGATATTTAATATCGGCACAGCCCTAATAATAACTAATTCCAAATCTTCGTTCTCTAGTCGACTCAAGTTTATAGACTTGAGTTGACTCGAGTTCATAGACTTGAGTTGACTCGAGTTTATAGACTTGAGTTGACTCGAGTTTAATAACTTGAGTTTAGGAACTTAGTTTACAACTCGACTCAGTTTTATGTCGATTTTTCGACCTTAGAACACTAGTTTTCGATATTCTCAACAATTGTTATCAATTCGCGAAATAAAAATTAATGAAGTTATTTTATATTTAAAAATTTTTAAAGACCAATCAGAAAATTCCATAATATCCATGGTAAAATCAAATTTAGCAAAAATTGCCAAACTTGGGCTTCACTGACAAAAAAAGTAAAATACCAATTTTAATAAAAAAGTTTCCATGGAGAGATCTAAGATAAATTCACATCCATTTGACTCTGAAAATTTATTTATTATTAAATTACCTGAAGTAGAGCACAATAGATCTTATTAATAATATATAAAATTGTAGGATGTATCTGAAGAAATTAATAATAAATTTATGAATAAAGAAACCATTAATATTAAAGATATTCTTTTTTTGGATCTAGATGTTGATAACGATAAGGGCAGGTTTAAATTTAAAGATCAAATATTGTTTGTTAAACTTCATAGCCTGCCTTGCATTATAGAATGTCTTAAAACATTGGATAGGAAAGTTTACTATAAAACTGGTGACATTAGTCAAGTTAATTTATAAATAATTCTTAATTACCATATATATACATTGTATTTGGCAAATTTTATAGTAAGATTCTCCAAATTTAATTACTTTCTTATAATAGTCTCAATAAATCTCATGCATTTTAGTATGAATATAAAATGTTATATTAAAATATTTTTTAATGTATTTTTGTTTAATGAAAATCCTATTCTTATTTTGTTAAAAATTTATTGTAAAATATTTTGTGTAGCTATTTAACTCTTCATAATTTTTTAAAGTTATTAGTTTGCCAAAAAGAACCATATTCTGACAATGAAGTTGATGAGCACCAAAATAATCCCACAAACAGTTTGAATAGTTTTAGAAATAGGAAAGACAAAGAGAAAAAATACAATTGGAACCATGGTATAACCCCACCTTTAAAGAATGTAAGAAAACGACGCTTTCGCAAAATTATTAAGAAAAAGACTCTAGATCTACCACAAATTGAAAAAGAGGTTATAGTATTGCCTAATAAATTAAAATTCTGTTTTAGTTCCTTCCACTATGTGGTTAATTTACAATTTTTATAATTCTCTTGTATTTTATGAAGCCAACTGATACAAAATTATCTTCCAATTTCTTTTATCATATATCAGTTTCCATATTTTTATTGAATCTACTATACCTTATGTTGGCTAGGATGATTACATTAGATTTATAGACCACATGACAACTTTTATAATTCTAATTAATCATTTTTTTTACATAAATATTAGTTAGATTTCAATTGTATACTAAGAAATAAAAGGATATGGAAATTAGTTAATGCTCCATTTTTTAGAAAGAATTTAAAACACCTGAAATTATAAATCCCTTTATTTCAATCATATCTTTTTTAATACTTCCTTTCTTCTTTCCACATAAAGGTGAGACGCCTTCTCCAAGTTGATAATGAGGCTGAAAACGTGACTTGGGAACTTTTATTTGACCACCAAGAAGGGGCACCCACTGGTCTACAAACTTCTTCCATACCTCTCAGCTCTGAAACCTCACTTCCTCATGTCACCACCTTTTCTAATATTGAAGATGAAACCAGATTTTCTCTGGAATATTCTGTGACTTCAATGGCTACAGAAAAAGAAGGAAAATGGATCAAGGGAGGTGATAAGGAACCTGGACCCCATTCCAGAAGTGAAAGTGGATTAATGGCTAATACATTGGGTAAATGTCATAGAATATATTGCCTCTCACACACTGCAATATCTAATTAAATTTTTTTTGTAATATATTAATTTATACCTTGTACCTGCAAAATATTTTCTCACTTGGCTTGGGCTCGGAATTCAAAAAAGACTTGAGCTTGACCTGTTTCAAGGTGGGGACAAAAAGAAGTTTTGTTGGGTTCAAAAATGTCAATCTTTGTTAAAAATATCAATAAAAAATTCTCTCTATTTTCAGCTTTATTTTAAAAAAGTATAATCATTTTTATTTTAAATAAATTTAGAGTAATGACTTTATTTTTTTGTATTTTTATGACAAATCAACATCAACTGGACCCTCCATGCCTCCGAGTCCAAACAATGGTTGAGACACTGGCCTCTAAAGGTCTATAAAATGGAGCATTTTGGGCAACATATTTAATTTTGGATATAAATGAGCTAGTTCTGTCAAATATCTTTACATAGCCAATAGTTATATAATGTTAAATATTGTTTAAAAATCTAATGTCAAAAACCGGAAATGATCATAAAATCAGATTTATATATATATAGATAAGTGATGAAGCGTCAATTTTACTACTAGGGGGAATCAATCGAAAATTTTTTTTATTTTATTTATTAGTCAAACCATAAAAAAAATCAAACTATAATAATTTATTAAAAATTAAATCTTATTAACATTTTGGATAAATTTCTTAAGAGAAGCCGCCAACAGAGTTAAACCCTTCTCGGTAGGTAGAATTACAGTGTCAATTTCTATATGTATTTTCTCATCTGTTTTGTCTAAATATTTTTATTTTTTGATAAAACGTTAAATATAAGTATATCAAAACATATCTTAAAAGTATCTCTAAACCGTTACAAATACCTCTGAAATAGTATATAGTTATAGATACTTTTATACAACTCTGATAATCTTAATAAATTTTCAATAATATAATTACAATTATTAAATATTATTGCTTTTTAAAAAAAATATTTATTTTAAAAAAAAAAATTTCTCATTTATTTATTAAAAAAAAATTTCTCATTTATTTATTAAAAAAATAATCAGTTTTTTATTTGCTTCCCCATTGCTTATTTTTTAAACGGAAAATTACACAATACTAGCGCTGTAAACGTTACTACAAAAAAGAAATGCATTACCGTTACTCGTTACCTTTTTAAAAAGGGAACGCACGTTATTGACTATTCAAAAAAGTAACGGGTTCTCGTTACTTAAAAATTTAAATATTATATACAAAAAATATTTATTTTTTTCCTACAATATACAATATAAATAAAATTATACAAAAATAATATTTTATACATAAGATAACATCTTTTTGTAACAATTTTTTAATTATTTTTAGCAACATTTTTTTTCAAAATTATAGACAAACAAGAACGCTTAGTGCTCAACACAGATTTCGCCGTGCTAGACATATGTTCAATTGGCACAGAGAATGGGAGAATTGTAATATATTTAATAAATAAAAATTTTAATTTGGGGCATTTATTAAAAATATTTAAAGAATTATCTTTATTTTAAAAAAAGCTTAATAGATTATCTTTACAAGTATCTTCATTCGTTTGCTCATCAAAAAAATTTATCTTTATCAGAAAATATTCCGGTATGTGTGTTGAATAAAGGAATTAAGTCTGCTCTTTCTTTATCGAGATCTTTTCTCAAACTGGAAATAGGTTCTAGCATTCTTCCTTTGTTGACCTCTAATTTTATCCAGAGTTAATCCAATTTAAATATTGGGAGAATTATTGCTTATAGTATATATTCATCTTTATAGATGTGTTTGAATCTATTGAGATAATCAAAATATAAATTGTTAGCAATATTTGAACTGTAAACATTTTTTATCTATGCCTTCCATGATTAAATTAATAAGCAGCTTACAAAACTTGAAATTATTTAAAGCCATTTTTTTAAGTTTTAATATTATAATAGTTATGGGTGGAGTAAGATATCCCAAATGCATTTTTTCTTCGCTCTCTAAAATTGAAAGAGCCATAGATATCGGTTCCATAACCATACAATCATATATATATACATATCATATTTCTTAATTAACAATAACCATACAATATTCATCCAAAAACGACTTGTCGTTATCTGAAAATCTCTATAATTCAGATTTATCACAAGATTCATCAAATTTTCAATTCTCCTTAATAAGACCATCTATTAATTTCACGGAGTTATAAAAAAAGTTCCATCTTATTATAATATCTATGTTAATTCCATAATAGCTTAGAAATGGTTTTAAAATGGAATCGATACCTGCCTTTTCAATGTCAACACTTGCAATGAGATTTAAAGTGTGTGCTGAACAGAATTAGGTATACAATACTATCATTAATATTTTGATTTTCAAATAGATCAAATAATGGTAGAGTAACTATTTTATCATCCGATTCCTCTCCTTGTTCATTACTCTAATGAATTTTTAATAAATATATTATATTTTTTTACTTGAAAGCTTTTATATAATTTCCAACATTGTCGATAATGCATTTAGTCACTTTATTTTGTATCTTATATGTGATGTGGTAAAAATTTTTAAGATTATTTTTGCTAGATAATAAAGTATGTGTTTTTTGTTTGGCTGAAACCCTCTCAAGAGTGTCTGGGTGTAGCTAGTGTACCATCATCCCTAATATGAACTTTTTTAAAAGGCAATATTATCAATCTATAAATATATTTTTTATATACCGATGATAAGCTGACCAAGAATCCATAGTTGTACAGTGGGATACACAATAAATCCACTAATTTCTTTGCTATGGTGTCATATGCTTTGTTAATTTTTAATATGAGGATAGTCCTAGACATCACATTTTTAGTTGACTGTAATTTTTTGATAGTATTAATAAATGCAGTGCTTTCTACAATTAAAAATATTCTTCAATTATAAAATTAAAAATTAATTTATTAACAGCTGATTGTGCTTTATCTTTGATATAGATGCATTCTGCATCTCAATGAGTGTGAGTTGATTGGCTTCAATTTTTTTAAATTTCTATTCAAATTTAATCTCTTTCATTTATGAGGGATGTACAGTCTATAATTTTTAATTAAAATATTATTAATTCCTGAATTTTTATTAAAAATAACTTAGCTTTTTCAATAATTAAAGTTAATATTTTTAAAAATTTAATTGCATTCATTAAAAATTGAAATTATGATTGCCAAAGATAATTTTTCAATTTCTTATTAAGAAATATCATTTAAAAAGGAATCAGGAAAAATATTTATGTTCAGTTCTCTAAAACAATATTGCTTTATAGTTTTATTCCATATATATTTATTTAAACAAAGTTTTTTTAAAATAACTATTTTATTCTTTAAATCTATTAACAATTTGAAGTTAAATCAATAGCAATACTAAAACAATAAATGGAAGATATTGTTTAAACCAATACCAATATTTTGTTAATCTTAGGTTTTTAATGTTGGTTCCCAGCCATAATTTAATTGTTTATATTTTAGTTTCTTGATTAAGCTTTTCAAAATATTATGAAGGAATACTTCTTTTAATGGTTATTTTATAATACCAATGGTTTAATATTCTATTATTAAAGTAATGTTTAAAATAATAATATATTAATTCATCTTTTTACCTTCATTTGCTTTAAGTTTGAACTGCTGGACATTGAGGTTGAAATATTTGCCTTGGGTCATAATTTCCATTTACAAAGTGAAGACTTTATACTCTTAATCTTCTCTATTGGTGTGAAATATGTTTAAATTGGGGCCAGGGGAGGGTTAAATCATCTTCATCTGAAGAAATAAGTACTATGGATAAAATATCTTAATATAAATTATAAAATAGAATAATAATATTATTATTAACATTTACTTTAAATTTTGATTGAATATTAATTAGATTAACATTCGACTGAAAATTTAACGAGTATTTAAAATAAAAATGAAGGAATGGTGGTTGATGTGAATTTAAAAAACTGGGCTTAAATTTTATATTAAAAAATAAATAAAAGTAATTTTAATAGTACAATAAGACATCTTTTTTGCGTTACCGTTACTCAAAAAAAGAAATGCATTACCGTTACTCATTACCTCTAGAAGAAGGTAACGAATGGCGCTTCTTTTCTTCAAAAAAGGTAACGACGTTAGTAATGACGTTACTTTACAGCACTACTTAATAAATTCGCATGATTTTCTCTTTATTTATTTTAAAAAAACAATATTAAATTTGCTTCCTTCATATATATTTTTTTAACGTAGTAAATATAATAGTAAATTTTTTAAAGTAGTAAAAAATAATAGTAATATTTTAACGTTATAAAAATTATATTAATTTTTTTTAACGAAAGAAGATTAGTTTTCTCAACAATTTATAAAGATTATATTAATTATTTAAGAATTTTGTAGGAAAAATTTCAAGGGAAGTAATGCTTCCCTTGCTTCTATGGAAGCTTCGACACTTATATGATATAAGACTAATTAATACACGTGCAAAATTTTAAGTTGGGTTGAGCTCAGGTTTAGGAGATATGCCATTTTATTCATTAATAATTGTAAAATTTCGTAATTAATATTTGATAAATCATTATTGTAATATATAGAATCTTTTACTATTTTATGTATTTAAATAAAAGATTATATAAGATGGTAAAGGGAGGGATGCTATTGTTAATTTATATAATATATTTACTTTGTTCCTAAAATTCGCACAATTTGGATAAATATATATATTGTGAAGGCCTAAGAAATGTATTTCCTTGGATGATTAACCAAAATAAATCATTAACGATAAAATTATCTTTATCTTTTGTAAAAAATTAAGAATGAAAAATTTAATATTAATGAATTAATCTTGAACCCTAAAAACAAGTAGAATTTCTGGCTGAATGTAGAAAAAAAATTTGTCAAGTAAAAGGGTGCTTTATCCAATCCAAATATTATAAAGGCTGTAGGTGTTTTTGAAACTATTATGAATATTGGAAAATTTTATCATTCCGATTAAAAGAGGCATGTGATGCCTG